CGCAGAGACCCGGTATTGATTTTGATCAAACATATTCTCCTGTAATTGATGGAATAACGTTTCGCTATTTGATATCTCTGGCAGTAAATATGAATTTAGATATGCAGTTAATGGATGTCGTGACCGCATATTTATATGGGTCATTAGAAACAAATATATATACATGAAAATCCCTGAACGATTAAAAGTTCCCGAAATAGAGGGAAATGAAACACGCAACATGTATAGCGTTAAATTGCAAAAGTCATTATATGGCTTAAAACAGTTGGGTAGAATGTGGTACAACCGGCTGAGTGAAATTTTATTGAAAAATAATTATGTGAATAACGATGTGTGCCCCTGTGTGTTTATAAAGAAGTCATCAAATGGTTTTTGCATCATTTCAGTCTATGTTGATGACATAAATACAATTGGCACACGAGAGGAGCTTGATAAAGCTAGCTCATGCCTAAAGACGGAGTTTGAAATGAAAGATTTGGGTAAAACCAAATATTGCCTCGGCCTGCAGATCGAGCATCTCCCTGGAGGAATTTTTGTACAGCAGTCAAACTACTTAAAAAAAGTTTTAGAAAAATTCTACATGGATAAATCTCATCCACTTAGCACACCAATGGTTGTCCGATCCCTTGAAGCGGATAAGGACCCATTTAGACCTAAAGAAGATACTGAAGAAAATTTAGGACCAGAAGTTCCTTACTTAAGCGCCATTGGCGCGTTACTTTATCTTGCAAATTGCACCAGGCCTGATATTGCATTTGCAGTAATCTTGCTAGCAAGGTTTAGTGGTTCTCCTACGAGGAGACACTAGAATGCTATTAAACATATTTTTAGGTATCTTCAAGGTTCACAAGATCTTGGTTTACTTTATAAAAGTAACGAAGATATGACATTGGTGGGATATTCTGATGCTGGCTATATGTCTGATCCCCATAATGCCAGATCTCAGACTGGTTATGTTTTTCTCTGTGGTGGTACTGCAATATCTTGGAAAAATCGGTTAAGCAGTCCATGGTTACTACATCTTCAAACCACTCAGAGATAATTGCTTTATACGAGATTTCACGAGAATATGTATGGTTAAGATCTTTAATCCAACATATTCGTGGGTCATGTGGAATTACAAAAGATATAACCCCTACTGTACTTTACGAGGACAATGCAGCTTGGGTTTTACAAATGAGTAGTGGGTATGACAAAGGAAGCATGACAAAACACATTGCTCCAAAATTCTTTTACCCACACGAGCTCCAGAAGAGCGGTGAGATTATTGTACAAAAAGTAAGATCTAGCGAGAATTTGGCAAATCTATTCACCAAATCCCTTCCTACATCTACTTTTGAAAAATACAATTATGGTATTGGTATGCGTAAGCTGGGAAGACTATTGTCTTCAGGGGGAGGGACAAATTCAAAATAATAACGAAGATCAGGTCCTGAAGACCAAATGTTGTACTCTTTTTCCCTTGACTGAGGTTTTGTCCCATTGGGTTTTCCTAGCAATGTTTTTAATGAGACAACAGTAGTATTGCATTAACATGAATAGTGTACTCTTTTTCCTTCATTAGGATTTTATCCCACTGGGTTTTTCCTAATAAGGTTTTAACGAGGCAGCACATGGATACTCCAATAAAGATGATATATTTGAAGGGGAGCAAAGTTGTGCTTCCACCGTACTCAGGTTTTATCCCATCGGGTTTTCCTGACATGATGAAGCAGTGATATCTGATGGACGCAAGATAAAATTAAAGATGTTCAGATTAATTTTTTTTTTTTTGAAATAATAATTAAAATAGTCATTCAAGGGGGAGTGTTGTAAATACAAAGTTGGTGGTGGGTGTAACCACCATCACCTAATGTTTAATTTTAATTTAAATTAATGTATATGAATGACTATTTTGTCCTTAATGGAATTGTATTATTACGATTGTGCCATCAAAAATTTCTTATAAATAGGAGATTCATTTATAATAAAAATACAACCAAGAAGAGAATATTTTCTTTCTGTCCTCTCTATTCTCTCTATATATTTATCTCTAGTTTTATAATAGATTTGAGATAATTAACTGTCCAAAGTGTGATAATAAAATTAGGAGTTGGTGAGATTGCATCAATAAAATCATTGAGTGTGGCGCATGAAGGGTAGGTCCTTGATTAGGTAAGTAATTTATTCAAGACTCAAGAGTCAAGAGTCATGGCATGCCACTATTATGAATTAAATTGATTTAGAAGTATTGAATATTTACAATTTTAGTATAATAATCGTTATTATGATAAGGATTAAGAATTTAATATCAAGATTCGTACATAGGTGGATTTTGAAACCAAGGCCACTCTGCAATATAGATTTATAAATTATCACACCCTTTCCACATGTAGCATAGTGGCAAAGTTCTTTATTTATTTATTTATTTAAATTCTAGCTATCTGAATTGAATTAAAATGCAAAATTAAAAAAGAAATTATACCCATTTTTCTATTTTTTTAAATCGATAATATATTCGTTCTATTCTATTTGCCAATTTTTCTCCACAGTGCACTATTTATATGTCAATCATCGCGTTTCTGTTAATGGGTGAATGTATGGATGATAGTCGTCTAAATTTTGTCTCATTATTATTTGATTGGATGTTTATATATAAATAATAATAATTAAAATCTAATACATATATGTACAACAGTTTATAAATATGAAAATATACTTTCTAATCTGTGTTTTTTTGTTTGCGGAGATAAATATAATACACACACTAGAAATATATACATGAAAAAGAAACACCGAGAAAAAATAACTAGATATGAAATATTGCATCATGAGGTTTCACCTTACCTTGAAAGTAAAACTGAAGCAATGGTCAATTGTATAATATGATGATTAAGTTAGATGTAAAATTTAGCTGTAAGCATGGTTAATTAGTTTATCCTGGTGTTGTTTCCACGTGTATGATTATAATCATTTACATGAGACCTATGAATGTTAGCCTTTGTGCAGCATTATGCTAAAATTAGTTATGCAATTTCAACATATAAGTGTATTTTTCTTTTAGAAAAATCACTTTATGTATTTACTAAAACACAAATTTAATAAAGAAGAAATATAATTATTTGGCTGTTGGATGGGGTGGAGCGTTGGGGCTGATTTGGCATACTGGCCTGTGGGTGGTCAGTCTAATTATTTGACTGTTGGATGGGGTGGAGGGGTGGGGCTGATTTTGGCGTACTGGCCTGTGGGTGGTCAGTCTATTGGGTTTGGGACCGTGGTTTTGGAGGGCTGGGTTAGGCCTTTGTTGCAGTTTCAGGCTCGGTGCTCTGAACTGGGTCTCAGTTTGCAGGGTGACGGCTCTGGGTGGTTGGTGGCGGGGCGGTTTGCGGTGTTGCTTGTCAGCCATAGAGGAAGGCTTCAGTTTAGTAATTTGTTTAGGTTTGTTTAGGTTTCTTTGTGTGTTTTAGTCTGTGGGTTTCTTGTTGTGTGGTTGTGTGTTGTTTTCTTCTCCTTTGGAGGATCATGTTATTCTCCTGCTATGAGATACTAATATAAATAATATACAATACAATATAATATAATGCAAATTCACGCAAGCATTCAAAGAGTGCACATCCCTAAGGATTTTCTTAGAGAAATGAACCTTTGGGAATCCAGCGTTTTATTTTTTCTTTTATCTTGTAGTGTGTGTTGTGCTATCTAGACTGTCTTCGGTAATCCTCCTATTCCTGCTAGTTAGCTGATTGTAATTATGTCGAAAAAAAAAGAAATAACTTTCAGGGAGATGCTACGGTCCCATTACGGAACCATTCCGTCGAGATTTGTAGCCGTTAGATCAACTATCCCTGACGGTTACATGATAATCTAACGGTTACAAAACCCGATGAAATAGTTCCGTAACGAGACCGTAGCATTTCCCTAACTTTCATATATGATATATCAAGTTACTCATTCCTTGATGGTTCTAAATTTACATCCATATCTCTCTCTCACACATTTTTGCTATGGAGTCATCAGATGACTCAGCTTATAGAGTCATCCATAGTTATTCACAAATGGTGTATTGACACGTGTCCTGCAATAAATCCACATTGGACACGTGTCAATACATAAAGTTATGGATGACTCCATAAGGGAGCCATCCGATCATAGAATTATTGCTCTCTCACACGCACATATAATAAAAAAATATCATTATTTATTAAAAAATAATAAATTACAACTTAATTAAATAAATTTATCTGTGAAGTCTATTATATTATATATTATAAAATGTAGTGAAAAATTACTATTATTAATGTATCCTACAGAAGAAATGAGTATTATTATTAAATATAAATAATAATGTATTTAAAAAATATAAATTTTGACTAAATTAATGTAGACCAGCATTTTTTACTATAAAATAATTTTCATGTAAATCCGAATCCAAGGACTTATCCGTGGGCCCTCCCCTTCAATTTTCGTGGGCTGCCTTAAATCAAAAATTAAAAAATTGACCGACAATGAACAAACTCAGAAAGTGAAGAAAGAAAAGATTAAGAGCATCTCCAATGCTATGGTGTTGAAAGGCAATAATTTTTAACACATGTCAATTGATGATTGTAATGTTAATCCACATAAGAATAATGTTAAAAGACTAAAAATTTGCATCAAACTAGTATCTCCAATGCACCAATTTGATAAGAATTTATTTGTATAGGTGGACCAATTATAATAATTCATTAATACAAGAATAATAAAAAATTAAACCAAATATAAAGTGAATTAATGAGTCATCATGTTTAACATGGTGTTAGATATTAGAAAGTGAGTTCAACATTGTTAACATTAAATGCCATCCACATCATCATGAAAGAGCTAATGACTAGATGCATTGGAGAATAAATTAGTAATAAACTTTCAAAAGTTGATGATATGGATAATTTTTTGCAATGTCAAAAGTCACATTGGAGATGCTCTAAAAAAAAAATGAAAAACAAAAGTGTGTAACGCAGATAGAGAGAGAAAGAGAGAGAGTAGTCATTTGTCATCTCTCACCTCCCATCCCTGTCCACCGAATGAGCCTTCTCCTCTGAAAATCACAAAAATATCACTATCTGCTTTTTAATTAGGGTTTTTTCTTGCTGTTTTCTTGTTTTTCCCCCTTTTTTTATCACTAAAATACATAAACTTTAGCTTGCTATGAGTCAATGGAGTTTCTTGAATCTGAGGAAAATGTTTCGATTTTTTTTATGTTAGTTCAGGCAGCCGCAGATCTGTGAACGTTAAGGTACTTTAAATTTTTAAAACCCATTTGTTGTTTGGGCTGATAACAATGTCTACTTACTGTTATTATTATTGTTATCATTATTTTTGAAACAGTTCTAATGTTCTATGCTTCTGTGAGAATGAATAATGTTGTCTTTCCCTTTTATCTGCAACTTTTTTTTTTTTTTATTTTTTTTATTGAAGCTAATATTGATTTGTAAATTTAAAATTTCAGCTCTTGTCTGCAAATTGTTGGATGCTTATTGTATTTATTTTTTTATATTTTGTTATTTTTTGCGCAGAAGTTCATAAGAATGAAAAATCCTTTTATTTTTCCCCTTTTTTCGGGGGAGGTAAATTGGAGTTTTTGTTTTTTCCTTTTGCTTTTGAGACGAGTGACTATGCTCCTGTATCTTTTTTTATGCGGTTAATTGGCTGATGAAGTCTTGTTTGGTTTTTGCTGAAAAATAGCTGCTTTCACACACCAATTGTAGATTGGTTTTTGCTTATATATTATCATCCCTGATTATCATTGACAGGTAAGATACAAACAGTTGATCGATCGGGCTTCGTAAAACCTCGTGGCAAGTTGAGATTTGCACCACATATGCTGCAATCTTGTTTCATCAAAGCTTTTTCCTGAAAAAATGAGCCTGTTTGGCTGCCTAATCTGGAGTATTTTAATTTGAGTCGATCCATAAAAAAACAATAATGGACTCCTTCCGCCAAAACTGCGAAATAACCGAGGTGAAGGACGAAAAATCTCCGAGAAAGGGGCACAGCAAAGCTCTGGAAGATGACATCAACAAGCTTTTCGAGTCGGTCAATATTAGGCTAACTAAGAGCCTCGATTTATCGGATACGAGGCGAAACCCTTCGAAGAAGCCGATGAAGGGAAAATTGGGCAATAATGGCATGAATTCACCGGGAATTGGGTTTTCCGAGTCTGTCTCGCTAAAACAGGCGCTTAGAGGCCTCTGCATATCTCAGGCAGCCGAAATGGCTGCCTTAAAGCGTTTATCCATGCCGGCATCTCCAAGAATCTCGGAAGCTGGAAAAATCGGTAATTTTTATAAATTAGTCGAAAATGGTGAACCGGGATGCTCCCCACTTGCCGACCGGGAAAGGAAAATCGGGATTTTTATAGGTGGGCAAGAAAGTAGGTTGAATTCGAATTCGAATTCCCCGCGTATGGTGAAATCAGCTACCCAAAGCTACAATGCTTCTCCTTGTTTGGAAGTTGAAAAGAATTCGGAAAAAGTGGAAAATAATTGTAGAGAAATAGAATCGAGTGGTCCACTGGCTGAATGTTGTACTAGTGTTCAAGAACCTAATACAAAGAGTGAAGAGTCGCCTATTGTGAATAAAGAGATTGTAAACGAGCCGGAGATTGATGTAAATGTAGTGGGAAAAAAAGGTTCAGAGAAAAAAGATAATAGTTTTTCCTATCAAGAGAAGAAAGTTCTTGGTTCTTCAAACAAGGTAGCAAGTGTTTCGAGTAAGAAACCTTCAATTTCCTCAAAATCGAGACAAAAATCGCAGTCTTCGTCATCCAGCGTGGCGAAATTCAAGAAAGACTCGAAGAGTTCAGGTGGAAGCTCGACACGTTCGGTCAAACCAGTAATCATAACCAAGAGTCTTGTCATAAAGAAACCGAAGAAGGCCAATCTGAAAGCAACACACCGAGTAAATAGTGCTAATGAAGACGAAAATTCTGGAGCTTTGATCTGCCACAAGTGCCAGTGTTCGTTGAGCCACATGGATGATGAAGATTCACAGATTACAAATAATCCGAAAAAACTCGCTGAAAAAAGGGAAATCTCACAGAGCTCGAAAAGCAGCGCGTGCGATTTTTTCAGCACGAGTACCACCACTAGCAATCTGAGTGACGATAGCAATCTGAGTGGTGGGCCCGCTTGTCGTAATAATCGGCCCCACATGTCGAGGGATGTGAGGTGGGAAGCAATAAACCGTGTGAGGAAAGAGAAAGGATTTCTTAATCTGAGCAACTTTAATTTGTTGAAGAAACTTGGCTCGGGAGATATTGGGACGGTTTATCTTGCTGAGCTGGCAGGGACTGGCTGCCCGTTCGCGATAAAGGTGATGGATAACGAGTTTCTTGCGAGAAGGAAGAAAATGCCGAGGGCAAAGACTGAGAGGGAGATTCTTGGAATGCTGGACCACCCGTTTTTACCGACACTTTATGCTCAGTTCACGTCGGATAATTTGTCGTGTCTCGTTATGGAGTTCTGTCCAGGTGGCGATTTGCACGTGCTTCGCCAGAAGCAGCCGGGCCGGTGTTTTCCTGAAGATGCTGCAAGGTATATATAGTATTTTTAAGATTGTACCATATTTTTTTATTATGGTTTGATTTGATAATCTGTGCAATAGAAATGTGGTGACAGCACAAAACAAAATTTACTTGCTTGCTTGGAAAAAAATGTGGAAAGTTTAGGTGCATTTTTTCTGGGCCAAAGTTTAACTCTTTGCTTTTAGTAACTCAGAACAGTCAGAAGTGTCTCACCCTATGCATTCTGAACCGTGATTTGGTATATACTGAAAATGAGGGACTCACGTGGTATGGTTAATTTTGAAAAAAGTGGTATGGTGAGTTGTTAGTGTGTAATGGAATTTTGAGTTTAAATTAAAATAATATTTAAAATAAAATAATTAAATTTGATTTGATGTAAACGTAGGAGATACATGATTTTGAAGGATGGTCAGTGAATTAAAGCTGATGTAATGTGTAAGAATGATTGGATGATATTATTTAATTATATTGATAATATTGATGATAGTGGGGTTGAGTTAAAGTTGAGTTAAAAAAAATGTCTGGTTAAAAATGATTGGAATTTTTTGGTTCTTTTGGAAGTTTACAATTTTTGCAAAATAGTATCAAAATTCTATCTCCTAACATTTTTTTTTTCCGACCCAAATCCAGATTCTACGTGGCCGAAGTCCTCCTAGCCCTCGAGTACCTCCACATGCTCGGAATCGTTTACCGTGACCTCAAGCCCGAAAACATCCTCGTCCGTGAAGACGGCCACATAATGTTGACCGATTTTGACCTCTCCTTATGCTGCCCCGTCACCCCAACCCTCGTCCCTTCCTCCTTATCCCCACCTCCCGACCCTCACAGGCCCTCGGGCCAATGCGCGGGCTCAAGCTGCATCGACCCATTCTGCTCCGGGCCCGCTTGCCGTGTCTCATGCTTCGGCCCGTGGGCCAGGCGGGCCCGGCCCGAATCCAAGGCCCGCCGGACCCTTCCTCAACTCGTCGCCGAGCCAACCGAAGCCCGGTCAAACTCGTTCGTCGGGACCCACGAGTATTTGGCTCCGGAAATTATCAAAGGGGAAGGGCACGGGAGCGCGGTCGACTGGTGGACGCTCGGGATTTTTCTTTACGAGCTTCTGTACGGTAAGACGCCGTTCAAGGGCGCGGATAACGAGGAGACTCTGACGAATGTTGTGGTTCGGGAGCTCGGTTTTCCGGAGGGCCCGCAGATCGTGGGGTTCAGGGCCAGGGATTTGATCCGAAGGCTGCTGGTGAAGGAGCCTGAAGGGAGGCTAGGGGCAGTTTCGGGCTCGGGTGAGATAAAGAGGCACGCGTTCTTCGAGGGGATTAATTGGGCGCTCGTGAGGTGCGGGGCTCCGCCGCGGGTCCCGGAGGCTTACGATTCGGAGGGGTCGTTTGGCGGCGGCGGTGGGGAGTTCGAGTTGTTNGTTTAGTCATGTTAAAAATGTTAAATTTGAATTAGTGGGAGATTAAAAAGTTGAGAACACTTCTCATTTATATGTAGACCTTGAGGTTATTTCTGTAAAAAAAAAAAAGGGAAAGTTACTATTGTAATTATGTAAATTTATCTGTCACTTTGGATCTGCCCTTGGTTTGAATGAGTTCACTCTGTATGTTGGTTAGGCTTAGAGTTTAGTCTTGAGATTAAAAAATGAATGGCAATGGTGCTCCGCATGAAACACACGAATATGATATGAAGCGATTGAAATATATGTGATTACAGAGCTAAATGACACGATAAACAATATATATGATTCCAGTCTGAAATTTTTCTCCAATTAAGCCAATTCAATGTATCTGTAAGACTAACACTGTTTTTTCAAATCAAAATTCCATCGAACACAACAACTACTATAATTTTTTTCTTCACACAACGGCATTAAATTCACACCAGAAAATGCCGTGAAATGGCAAGAGCATCATAATACACGGCAGGTTTTTTAGCAGCCATTATTGGCACCCAACAGCAAAGCCTACAATCCGAGCGGCGGCGGCGCCTACCCTGCCAGCCGAGCCTAACACGCAGACAATTAAACCAATTCCAAATAATGGCCCCCTTTGCCACCTCATCCCAGTACGAATTTTACCCCCAAATCGACTATAAACCCTAAAATTGGACCCATCTAGTCAATCAGTTTTGTGTGTATATATATAGTTGCGTGCAAAGGGCTTTTCCGTTTCCGGTACTGATTTTGGGGAGGAGGAGAAGAAAAAATGAATCTACAGAAGGAGAGGAAGTTGTCGAAGGACAAGGTGGTCACTTACGAGGAGTGCCGGAAAAACCACGCCGCCGGCATCGGGAAATACGCCGTCGACGGCTGCTGCGAGTTCATGCCGGCGGGGGAGGAGGGGAGCGGGGCGGCGCTGAGGTGCGCGGCCTGCAACTGTCACCGGAGTTTTCACAGGAAGGTGCTGCGCTGAAAACGTGGGGGAGTGGCTATGTTTTTCCATTTCAATGATTGGCAAAAAGGCAAATTGAGCTCAGAAGAATTAACTTCTTCTTCTTTCTTTTGGCGCATTTTTTCAGATAAATTGATTAGTCGGGGGGCTAATGGAGAGTGATTATTTGACTGTTATTTACTTGATTCTGTTTTTTAATATTTTGCTTTTCTTTTATCTCTTAAATAATAATAATTACAATCATTCATATCAAACTCATTCTATGTCTCATTTTAGGATTCCATCTGCTTTGTTACCTTAATTAATTTATCGTATTTTGAATTTAATTTTCTTTTCAAATATTGAAATACACTAAAACATAAATTATTTTTTAGAATTGCAAAAATTTTCAAATCAAACAACAGTCAGCAGGCAACCAATAAAAAACTAAATACAAACTTCAACTTTTTCTACAATGAAAACAACCAACCAAATTGATTTGGCTGACTAGTTGGCTTGATTTTGTTTATTGTGTCTCGGTTTTTCTGTATATTTAGTTTTGGTTAATTACAATACAACAAATAACAAATAAAAAAACATATAAAAATATCCATGGTTACTAACCGAATTGTAATACAACAAAAAAAAGACCAAAAGAAAAATCATATAAAAATAGCCGAATTAATCAGCACGATTGAACTCAAAACTCAGGCCAATCGGATATGATTTTTTTCTTTTCCCAAAAAAATTTGTCTCATCTGAAAAAAGAGAGAATGTGAAAGATTATTTTCGAAAAAAGTTCCGATAGATTTGAGATTATGAATAAACATAAGATACACGCTCAAGTGAGAACACAAAGAAGACGATGAACAGTAGTAAAGTGTTGTAAATAAGTATGCAGAGTGTAATGTAAGTAAGTATGTAGAGAGCGTAATGTTGTTATGGTCATACTCCACTCTTTTATATAGGGATGTATCCACGTGTTGTTCTTATCATAATAATTCTTATCCATTAGTCTGTTTTATTAGACAGTCTAATCGTGCGATCGACCTAAACTACCTCGAGCTTAAGTGTTGCACACGCTTAGTTTGTGTGCCTTACTCCTCTGGTCGATTTTGCGACCAGTCGTCCCTTCAGGTTGAGTTTCAACCTGACCATCTGATGGCCTCCTTCTATCATGTGACATTCACGTCGACATGAAGACTCCTTAACCTGTAAGGTCTTCGTTTTCTGTTCGGCCTACCTATGCTTCAGTTCGACCAACCAATCTACCCAAGCCCGACTAATTGGTTTATCGAATTTATTCGACCTGTTATGATGTCTCGTGTTAATGTTGTCATTTATGTTATGAGGCATGTGTTAGTAGAGTTAAGTTTGTTTTTATTTTTTTAGAATTTTAATATAAAATATGTGGATTGAATAAAAAAGGGTATATTTTTAGTTCAATTAATAAATAAAAAGAAATACTATAAATAAATAATATTGTACATAGGGGTGTACATAACACTCACATTGAGTGGTGCCTACCAAAAATAAAAAATTAAGTCAACCCCACCCATATGAATGTTATGTACATCTAATAAGTACATTTATTATGTAATTGTAGCATCTCCCTTAAATAAAAACCCATGGAATTAACACACGATGACAGATTTTTTAATATATTTAATAATATTTAATAAATAAAGTATTTTACTATAAATCCAAAATTAAGCTGAGATAGAACTCGTACCAGCTATAAGAAACTTCCTTCTCCGCCAACAGTCAGAAATTGAGAATTAATGGCGCCCGCCGGAGAACGCCAGAACTCCGATGAGCTCGTCACGCTTATTTGCAGCGAATCTAACGGGTCGGACCCGGTCAATCCCTCCGAGATTGTAATTTCGACGCCTGAGATCGGCAGTTGGGACTTGCCGTCGATCATATCTCACAAAGCCGTCAAAATCAAGGCCGATCCGAACAGGCAAGTCGGAATTAGCTCAGTCATTAATTCAGAAAATCTATACCATCTCAATAGAATCTTAGAAAACCCAATTAGAGGTTTTGTAAAGCTGTCTTGATTTTACTGTCTCGAGGAGAATGAGAATCTGATCAAATGTTTGTATAATTGTATGCACAGGTTAATTGAAAAGTCCTCATATTTCCGTGGACTCCTTAGTGGGAGCTTTAGGTAAACTGGTAAAGGATATATTTATGGCTTTCATAAGCTCAAGTTCTAGTTGAAGCTTTTTCAGTACAGGGCTTATTTTTTGGTGCGTTTTGTCAGTGAAGCTGGACTTAGTTCTTTATCAATACATTGGGAGCTGGGGTCATTTTTGAGTGTAATAAGGGCTATATTTGGTTGCGAGGTGGAGATTTCGTCGGATAACTTTATTCTTCTGAACGAGGTACTGTTTTGTTTATTTGACTAAATAATGTTGTATGGTTTTTATGTGTAAAAAATTTTGTGCCCTCTTCTTGCCAGTCCGTGTTTATTGGAAGTGTTTCTTGGGAGAGGATGCAGGTTATTTCTGGCTTTGAGGGATAAGCAATATTTTACCAAGTCAGTTGACTATGAGTATTTTATCAAGCTATTCTAGTGAAGTATAGTCTGTATAGAAGAAACACAGTAAAAGTTAACCCAATATGTGGAATTGCTTANCCCCCCCTCTCTGTGTGTGTGCGCGCGTGTGAAATGATTCTTGTGAAACTTGAGAGTGTCTTTGTGAAATGATCATTTGAAAAGTTTGAATTTTATGTATTTGGGTTCACAACTATAATTAACCTGGATGTCATCTGACAGAGTAGTTTGGATAGCAATATTTGAAATGCTCTTCTTCTACTCTTTCATTTTTTTTTCTTCCAAAGAATTATACGTGATTAGAAATTTACAGTTTGGAATGGTGACATTTGGGAAAATAGTCTTTCTCTTGCAGACTGCTTTTCTCTGTTTTGTTATAGCTTATTAGTGCTTCACCATCTGTGGTTATGGCCTTCTTTCTGAGTTTCTGGTAGCTACTTTATTATATTATCAGGCAGCATTATTCTTTGGGGTCGATATACTTCTCTCCAAATGCCAAGTTTGGTTGGATGAACTGACTTCATCCGGTGGACATCAGGAACCTCGATTATGTCTGGTCAGCTTGATTCAAATATGGAAGTATGGTCTAGAGCATGGTAAGGTTTCCCATTTATTTATTATATGACTATGTTAAAGAGATACACAACCCAAAGTGTGAGCTTTACATATTTTTTCAACATAAATATTATGGAACTCGGTCTTATAAATGGAAGTGGAATATGTTGCAGCAAATGACTTTGTTCAAAATTTCTGTACAAGCTATCTGGCCAGGAACTTTGTAAGAGTTTTTTGACTTTGATGAATATTTTGTCTAATTTTGTGAGCATTATTTCTCTTGCATCGGAGGATTGTTATTTTCATTATTAATTTTAATACTTAAGTAGGATTATTCTCATGGCTTGGAAATTAATTACTTTGCCAACAGAGTGGACAGTTCAGTTTACTAGACAACTAGCACATGAAAAGTGTATATATTAAAATATTCTATAAAACAAAATCATTCATTTTTGCAGACCTGGGCAATCTCATTTAACTGTTACACTGATATTCCTGGTAAGCTGCTCTGCTCCTGTATCCAGCATTCCGACTTGACTGTGGACAGGTTAAAATGGTTTCTCTTTTGTTACTTATAATGAAAATTAGCTATAACATAATTCTATTGTATTCTATTGCCTTCACAGTGAGAAGCATCTTTGTGATGCTGTTTTAGTTTGGATAAATGCAAACACTGCAAATTTAGAGGGCTGGAGTAGCGATGATTTATGTGACAAGGTAAGGGTTTGGAATCTGATGTGCCACAGCATAAAATGACAAGATGTATTAATATTGCTCTGAAATCTGGAAACCTGAATAATTTGGCTTTCGATACTCCTTAGGTGATCGAAATGCTACAGGATTTTCTTTTAGTTTGTGTTGCCTGCTGCAATCTGCTATGAAATGGCCGGGGTTTCTATATTCACTCAACACATATTATTGTAAAATGAGAATTTGCTTGGAGTTAAATAGTGCTATATGCAATTAACTAACATACCGCATGAAAATAATTTGATAAAAAAAAATAAAAAATGACAAAGATAAATAAGATGAGACTCTGAATAGTAGAACGTTGGTAAGAACAAACAGAAAACCAGGAGTTGGCACACTTATATAGTTTAGGATATAGATTGATCATTGATGGTATGGCAATATAAAACTGTAGGTTCCTCGGAGTAATTAATTAATGAACTCCTTTTAGATTCATTGTAGCTTGAATAGAAAACCCGGTACAGAGAAAGCAGTGTGAAGTAGATAAAACAAATTCTCCATCCGCGTGTTGATAAAATTGCAAGTTCTCAAGTATAATTTTGGTACTTGCTCATTTTCTCTTGAACAGATGCGTATGTGCCTTCTGCCATTATGGTTTGCTGCTGGTATGCTCTCTTTCTCGAGTAAAAGAGCCCTTAGCCTGGTTTCTGTATAGATTTGTAACTTTTTTTTTTGGGGGTTTATATATTTTAGGAAAACGAAGATCTCGTTTCTTTTCGAAGTTTGCTGCTGAGGCAACTCGTGATATTCTTAATCTCTCTAGACATCCTTGTACGAGTTTGACAGACATCTTTGAAGATGGCAGCTCTAATCACCTAAAAATCCGGTTGACAAAATATTCACAGGTTTTTACAACAAACCCTTTATCTCATAGTCAAATCATACCATTATTTCTTGCAAATTATATAACTTTAGTTGCTGACATTGTTTGCTGGAGAAACTGTAGCACTAGGAAATTTATCTGAAAATTTTGTTTTAGCATTATTTACCTTTTAGTGTTCATTGATATTGAGCTAATCAGTGCATATTAAGAAGGACACAGATTGTTATCCAGCATTTTCTCCTAACAATCAAAAGGACACAGAATTATAAAATAATAATTCTAAAACTACAATTTTAAAGGACACAGCATTTTCTCTTAACAATCAAAGGACACAGATTGTCAGTCACTGTCCTTCAAGACATGCATCCTTTCTTGAAATGCACATGCCGGTCACTTCAGGATCACTTCAAGAAATCCAGTCTATACTTGTCGTTTCTTCTATAATAAAATTATTTCTTAAAATATTGTGACCTATATCTTTCCAAGTTGGAACTTTTCTGCACATTCTGCTTCCTGTAGCAATTATTATTTTGATCTTGTGCAGAAACTGGAGATTTCTGGCTGCCCACAGCTGACGACAGGACTCTTTCTTCTTTCTATGCTTCCTCCATATAATGCAGATATGATATCAAGAAAGATCATGAAGTTTTCTGTTAACCAAGCAAATTGTATTGGAGACAGTTTTCAAGTCTCACAGGTCCTTGGGCAGATGTTGACTTTTGAAGCAGTGCAGGAGTTGGATATTTCAAACTGCCCATCTTTTTCCCTGGATTCAGCAATTGACTGTTTCAGCAAGTCGTTTCCATCATTAAAATCACTACGGGCGGCTTATTATTTGAATTTCAAGTCAACGAAGTTATTTCGATTGGTGGAGAAGCTCCCTTTGCTATGCAATATTGACCTAACTGTGGATATTAACCCTGTTATACCTGCAAAAGTATCTGTTACATCATCCTCATCTGCTCTGATGCCAGAAAGATCAACAAAATCATTGGATGTATATAACTGCTGTTCGATTGCTTCATTGTCTTATAGATCGAGGCCCTGGGTACCAAGTATTATAAAACTCACTTTGGAGGGAAGAACTGACTTAAGTGGTAAGATTATCTATCTGGCCCAGCACCTCACCCTCTGTCCCTATGTAAAAGAGAAGAAAAAAGGATTGATTAAGTTATTATATAGGAGTAGCACTCAATGAGTTCTCATGCATTCTTTAATGGATGTAATGCTTGCTTAGATTATATAGCCCAAATAAAACGAGTGAATAAACAACTGTGTTTTCAAGACTGGTGAATGGTACTCAAAGTTCTCATCTTCGATTAACATGGTGTTCCATTGAGTTTGGGGTTTCAATCCTGAAGTCAATATACCTCCCACATGCAGCTTTAATTTTGATTTAGAAGCTTCCACTAATGTTGTTGGCAGGTAGATATTAGCTTTGATCTCTTGAGATGAATGCTTGCTTGCTGATTCTAACCTGCTTGAAAATAAAGGAAGGGTTTGTCTGTGTTAGCATCCTTGAGTTATATAAACAAATGGGAAATGTTCATGCAGCTTGAATAAAATAAAAAAAATAAAAANACCATTTCCCCTTCAGAAATACACATATTTTTGCTATACAATTATATTGCAACATCATTATTTTTGGCTCGTTCTGATATAATGGTATATTTTGGCGGTATAGTGTGTTAATTTGGCAAAACCAATCAAAATTTAATTACTGTGTCATTGTGCTACAGACACGGATCTCCTTACAATCTCCCAAATCTGCTGTTCTTTGAGTTTTGTTAACATTAAAGGATGCACATCATTGACGGATCACGGTATATCAGCAATGATTTTAAATTGCAAAAAGCTACAGTCAGTCTTGGCTTGTGATACTTCTTTTGGGAAAAATTCAGTTCTGGCACTATGCTCCAGTAATTCTAGTGGAACACAACAATATGAAAAGCAGTCACTGTTAATGGCTCACAGACTCCAAACTTTGCACATTGGTGGCTGCAATGGTACAATATCTTTTACTTGCACTCTTTCACTGTCTTAGTTCTCATCCTTTCTTGACTGCCCCCTTGCCTAATATCTTGTAATCTATCTGATGTAATTCTTCAAAAGGTGTTATGCGGAAAGATATCCTTCTATTGTTGGAGATTCTTATCCTATCTTGACCCATGTTTCATATGTTACGAGAACATGCACTCTTCTTAAGCATGATTTATGTCAGATTTTTGCTTAAGTAATAGTCTTCTTTTTTTATGCAGTCTTAACTTGTTTTGCATATTTTTCAACCTCGTCGATATTGTACCTAATAAATAATGATAGAGAAATGTAACACCATTGTCTACTCGCAGAATCTATTCTCCTTGTTCCAGAGCCAATACATTGATATAATGTTAATAATATCATAAATACCACTCCTTTATTTTTCCAGGGGTAACAGGAAAGGTTCTTTCTGCACTCATGTCTGGAGCAGATCATTTGAGGAGTCTTTGCTTGAGAGAAATCCAAGGTGTTGATGATGCTCTTTATATTTTTCCGGGGAATGCCTTGGAGATGCTTGACGTTTCTGACACCAAGGTGAGGATGTACCTGAAAGGACTTTAAAACTTTTCCTGTTAGAAACTTACTTTCCATTGTCATTCATATATTTGATACCATACGTCCAAGGACTAAAATTCGGAAAAAATATGGTGCGGGAGAAGAGGAAATGAAACTTGAGATTGCATTCCTGTACATTCCTTGATCATCTTCCACTAATTAAAATCAGACGCCTTCTTCTATGGATCTCCTTGAGCCTTTTGAAGTACACTGATGGCAAAAGAATATTAGTGTATATCAATATGTGTGGTTAGTCGGGATTGATGTTGGTCTGTATTTTTCTTGAAACTAATGTACTACTTCTATGGAATTAACACTCCAACATGCCTTTTTTTTTTTTACTATGTTGTGTCTGTTACTGTTATCTTCAGAATGAAGCCTGAGCCAAATGAAGGTAACAATTCCTTTGTAATTGGGAAGCGTGATATGTGTCAAAATTTCAGGTCTCTGCTGCTGCTATATGTCATGTTATTCATAAAAATACTGGCCTAAAATCTCTGAGAGCAAGAGGCTGTAGGCATTTGGTACAGCAGGAAGGTGAAGATGAAGAACAGAAATTGTACTCTGTATTGGGGAATTTGTGCAAATTGGAGGAGATAGAACTAGGATGGGGATTTTCATTTTTCTCTCTTGAGGCCCTTAAACCAGCAATTAAAACTCTACGAAGCTTATGTGTCGGTTTAGGTGGATCCCTAGCCCCCGATGGATTGAAGCAGTTAACTACGATCTGTCCAATGCTTGAGACGTTGACTCTTTATTTTCAGGTAATTTACCACTAAAAAAAATGTGCCGTGCATTTGTTATAATGTTCAATTATAAGTTCTTATATAAATGAGTGATAATAGGCAGAACAACGGGTATTCTTAGGATTCTTTGAGTTATACATGTGTTCTCATTTTTTTTGGTCCTTCTGAATTCTGTGAGCCAAATAGTTCTGTTGTGTTATATGCAGGCAATCTCTGATTCCGCCATAACCGACATAATAAAAAATTTACCAGGCTTGCAATCCTTGGCTCTCTGCTATTGCTTTGGTGACATATCCTTGTTAAGCTTTAAATTTGGGATGCCAAATTTGAGGAGCTTGAAACTCGAAAGAGTAGCCCCGTGGATGACTAATGAAGATTTGGGTACTCTGGCTGAAAATTGTGCCAATTTGGTTGATCTTTCATTGATTGGGTGCACGTTTTTGGATTCTGGTGAGTACCATTGGTTTGATGAAATCAGAGTTCGTTTGCATTGGATTATTGAACTTCTTGATTTTTTCCAAGCGGTGTGTATAAGTGCCGATTTTCCTCCAAAAGACTCTTGACATGAGATATATGGCTTTCGAGCTGATACGTTGTTTTAAGGACAATCCAAAAGATAATGCAACCTTTTCGCTGCTTTCTGTATCATTTGTAGGAGCACAAGATATTATATCAAGTGGTTGGCCAGGATTGACATCTCTTCATCTTGAGGTTTTGCTTCTACTTATTCCCTGAGATTTATTTTGCCTTTTCTTTTTAGTCGAATCTTTATTCCAGGATGATCTTTCAGTTTGACCATTTGAGCCCGTTCGTTTTATAAAACTCTGTCATTTGCATTACAGGAATGTGGGAAAATAACTTCAGATGGCATAAGATCCCTTTTGGACTGTTCTGCCCTTGAAGATCTCACAATACGGCACACGGTTAGTCGGTCCTACCCATTTTTTTTAACCGAAAAGGACGCACCTATCCATTGGAGTCCATATGCGTGCGTTGATCCAAATATACATATATGCTACCTATCATATTCATATCTAGTTCTGATTTCACCCGCAATTTCAAACGGTTTTCACCGTGACATTTTCAAACGTTCAGGGTGTGTCTGTTTATAAATTTGTCAAATTCATACTCAAAATCTAACTCAACTTTAACCCAACCTCACTATCTTCAATATTATTAATATAATTAAATAATATCAAACCATCATTCTTATACATTACATCAATTTTAATTCATTATTCACTCGCATAATTTTAACTAGCCATCACTTCACATCATCTTTTCTCCTACTTTTGCACCAAATCAACTTTAATTTTTTTTATTTTAAATATTATTTTAATATAACCTAAAAAAAAAATCAGTTTGAGCGGATATATTTGTATACAAGCATGCCCTCAACATCCTATTCTTAGAATCATCCTTTTGTGCATTGAATATTGCAGGGCCGTGGGCTTCCACAAAACTTCATCATATATGCTGCCTCCAAGGTATGTACTGCTTCATATGTGAAACTCTTTTTAGTTTTTACATACTTAATTGTGCTTTGGGAAGTGTATTTGAAACAAAGTATGTTCTGCTCCCATGAATAATGAATGAATGCAGTTACCTATGCTGCGGAAAATCTCACTCGATGTTTGTGATGCAAGGGAAGGCGATTTTGACCTTCCACATGTAAGTTTTGCATTTTGAGATTTTGGTCTACTTGCAAAAGGTGCAGATAGTATTGAAAATAGCAGAAAACACAACCTTAAAACATTAGTAATTTATAGATAGCATGAAATTATAAGACACCAGAATATCTGCATCTTCTAGTAAAACTTCGTTTTTCTCCATCTTGAAAAGTGAAAACTTGATTATTAATTATATTGTGTTTCGTTAGACTGATCGCCAGTTTACTTCAGTTTGCCAACAGATATTTTGTGAGTATAGTGAAGATTGCGAGATGTAAGCTTCAGAAAAGCTCGGTAGAGGTGCGCAACATGGAGGCTCGAAAAACCCCGGTGCACAAGGAGACGCTGGTGCTTGCGTGGAACAGTGAAAAACTTGCAAGGACAGTGGTCAAGGAAAGATTATAATTCAAACTGAATAATTCTCAAATTGTAGATGTATTTCAAATTTGGAATTTAGGTATATCTCTATTATAGATCTCATTAATAGCTCAAACAAAAGTTTTTTATTTTCTTCGAATAATTAGAACACTAAATTCCAATAATTGGGAAAAACAAAGTAAACAAACACAGTACAAAAAATACACGAAGTAGAATAAATCCCTCTCTCCTCAAACAATCACCAATTCACCATCACCCAATCCAAAAGCACGCAGATTGTTGCCCTCGAAAAGGCCACCACCAGTACTCAATGGCATCCACCAACACACTTTGAGATCAACAAATCTGAAAACTCAGAAAATAAACACATAGTATTATTTATATGGATAAACGATTTTATAATTTTCAACTTATATGAAACTTTCATATTGAACTATCATCAGTTATAAAAGTATGACATTATAGCATTAATATGTATTTTTGTTAAAAAAAATTATGATGGATCGATTTGTTACACAATTAGGTTGTCTCATAAACAAATCTATATATAATAAGAATTAACATTTACCATAAATAGTAGTAAAGAAAAGTCAACCCACATTTATTATATACTATTTTCAGCAATTTTTTTATTTTACATTTTAATTTTAATTCATTATCAAAAAATTGGATGGTTCCTAAATTAATGGGTTTTAAATGCACGTATCATGTTTAAAAAATTATAAATCATTTAAAATTGGATGGTTCCTAAATTAATGGTTACAAACTTTTTAAAGTACATAACTTATATTAATGTACGGTAAATATAAGGTTTTCGAAACCGGACCGTCATCGAAACGATCAAGTTATTTTATTAAATCATTTATGGTTGTTCAGATTTTAATACATTATATTTTAGTGTATATATATAGTACTTTTTGTGGTAAATTTAAATAAAAATTGTTACTTAAATATCTAAACAATTTATAAACTCAAATGTTTAAACTAATTGATAAACAATTTATAAATCTCTATTTTATTTAAATATGTAATTTTATTTAAAATAATTTTTAATGTAACAAAATTTGTTTAGAAAATCCTATCGATCCTATCAGTCCAACAGACTGGTGTTGACGGATTCGATAACAAATATTTTATTCAAGCACACTAGACTGGTTATAAACCGGTTCTCAGTCCATCCGGTCAGACTGTGTCCGACCCGATTTAATTTAAAAATAATAGGTAAATCATGATTAATGTTATTTATTTATTTAATTTATAATGCAATCAAAATATTGTTTTTCCATGCATCGCACGGGCCACGCACTAGTTTATATTTAAAAATGGAGTTAGTTGCTGAGAATGTGATTTTATTTATTTATTTATTTATTTATTTTGGCTGAGAATGTGCTACAAACACATACATTATTTATTTAAATAACATTTAGGCCAAACATTGAGAGGAAAAAATTCGCTTGAAACAATCCTTTGGTTCAAAACCTCACTAAGCAAATGACATACAAACCCAAATTAGGAAAAAGACTTTTGTTTGCGGAACAAAAGCAACATGGTTGCGTGACAATCGCGTTTCCCATAAAATCGCTCCTGCTTAATGCGCCTTTATTGTATTTATTATTTTATTTATTTGAGAAAAATAGCTATTTTTTAATATAATTTAAAACCTCGGTACTCTCCAGCCCTTTGCGCGTGAACTCAGAAAAACAGTTCGAAGTCTCATTTCTTCCATCTCCCTCGCCGTCTCCGGCCAGTCTCCGACCTCCGACTGGAACGACGCCACCACCGCCTGTCCCACAACCGCCGAAGCTATTTCGCGTAATTTCCATTCTGCCCCAACTCGATTAGTCTCATTTCCCATTTTCTTTTTGTGAAGTATGTGAAGAATTAACTGAATGTTGATCTTTTGGTGTGTGCGAGTTTCATCTTTATTCCTGAGTTTGTTCGAGTTTTGTTATTTGAGTTGAGCTCAACATATTCGGCTTCTAGGGTTTTCCTTTCTACCACTTTATTGCTTTCAATTCTTGTTACTGTTAGTGACAATCTGGTTTTTTTCATCGCTTAGTTTCCTGTTCTAATCCCCTGGCGTGTTTAGCTTTGGTCATTCTCGTGGGATACATCATTTGGTAAAACACAAATTCTTTTGTGGGGTTAGGTTAGGCGGGTCGACCCGTCATACATTTGTAACAAAAATGCATACTTATGCTATGAAATGTCATACTTTTGTTTATGTTGATTTTTTTGGAAGAAGTATGACTGCCGCCTAACTGTTAGGCATGCTTACTGGTGGTAAGGTCAAGCTTGAAGTTGTGAAACAAAAGAGATTCACGCCTTTTTTTCCTCAAATATAATGTGGGTGCATTGTTCATTGTAAATATGTAGGAAAGATCATGAATTTCCAAAGACTCGGACTTTTTTACCTAGCAAATAAGACAGATAAAGAGCTGGTTTATGATTTTACTTGTAGTACATTTTTCTAATAGAACATAGAAAACAATGCCAAAGGTGTATATAAATCGGACAAAGTATCCATGCAGATGGGAGTTAATTGAACATGAGCTTCAAAAATAAAAATAAAAATAAGAGAAGGTAGTTATAATGTTGCACGGCATACATCATACCATATACTTTATTACTTCACTCATTTTCATTCACTTTTTGTGGTGTTTTTTGTATCTGTTTGAAGATAAAAATGATAGCAAAACAATAGTTGTTAAAGCCTAAAGGCACCTCCTCTGATCGTCTTCAGCATGTCGCATAGTCCCTTGCTCCAACTAGTGAATTCATTGGAGTTTTAGCTGTTACGATTTT